AAGGTTTGCGGCAGCTCACATGTACCACACCGGAATTCACACGATTCGTACATGTTATATACATCATTATTGTTTTCCGTAATTTTACTCAATGAAGTTTCTTGTGCTGTCCCTGAACACTAGTTTGCAACATGCGCACCGAAAGATGAACCAATGCTCCAACGTTACCATTGTGTTTGTGTTCGCCGGACCGAGGCTAACTCTGAGAATCTTGAACAAAAACAAACAACAAGCAAATGCACAAGCAATTCAAAAGAACAAGCAAATTAAACAGCAAAAGCAAAACATAAAAAGTAAACACACAAAACCGCAAATGAAAAGCAAAGGCCAAAAATGTAAATCCAAAAAGCAACAAAACAATTGAACAAGGACACCAAAAACACACACACTTGAGAAGGTTGCTCCGTGGAGCGCGATTTCAGGCTGCGTCGCGGTGTGCATTAGCACTTTAAGAGTAGTTACTGCATTAGCCGAATGCATTAGCACTTTACTGCAAAACAACGTATGAGACAGCGTTGAACTGACTTAGAAGCATCAATGAATGAAGATTAAAATTGCAGGTACAAGATACTGCGTCCAGTATCTCTTCCAACCGAACACCATAGCTTTGTTAGCACGGCTAGGTGAACGGCCGCCGTGCCCCCTGCTGCTGTACATTGGTCAGAAAAATCGTAGGGTAGGTTAGATAGAGTTAGGGTAGTGTCCTTGGAAGCAGGAGTGGACACACACAAAGAGCCGAATCGGCGCAACTAGACCGGATCAGAAAATACCAGTGTAATAAATAGTGGTAGGGCAGGACGTCGAAAAGGAACTTGTAGATTATAAATTATAAAATGAAGTGAAGGACTGCGAATCTGCCGGCGCATGGTCTTTTTCCTCGTGGCCGCAGCGCCGCGGCGCAGTGTTCTTTGGAATGACCTTTTGTCAAATAGAGCTGCATCAACTGCTGTGCTGTGGCAGGTGCGAGGTGCTGTGGGAATGTGTATTTTCGTAAAGTGTGGTGGCGTGACTGTAAGCCTGAAAGGCGTAGTCTGTGACTCCCCGCTGACTGCGGATCACGAATCTGCCAGGGATGTGTGGGGAGTAGAAAGAGTGACGGTTCTGTTGAGGGGATCGATCAGGAAACCGAGTAGATGGTCGTCGTCCACTGGCTCTATTTCGACTGGGTGTTCATAAAATTCGGGATGGGCCAGTGTGGTGATGGGGAGTGCTGATCTGTATTGTTCGTTGAGCAGGATATAGCGGTTGTCCACGTAGCGTGTGTTGAGCAGGTGAAGGCTGGGTTGGTGCAGAAAGGTGTGGTAGGTGGTTTGCCAGGTGTGTTCGATGAGCGTGATTGCAACGTTGCAGAGTGCTGGTGAAAGCTGACTACCAATGCCTGCTCCTTGAATTTGTTTGTAGTAAGTGTTACAGGCTTGAAAAATGCATGATTGAAGGGCTTGTTGTACAATCAGGGGGATGTGCTGAGTGTCGAGTGTGCGTTGTTGTGGGTGGTGAATGTAGTGTCGACCAATGTGGGAGTGTTGAATGGGATTGCCGGTGGATTGGACGTCAATGGTGATGGTGGTGGTTGCGTGTTGGGCTTTCCAGCGATTGCATAGGCTGATGACTGCGTCGACGAGACGTTGTTGAGGTACACTGTTGAAGAAGCCGACGAGGTCATCATTGATCGGTGTGAGGTGAATGTCGTCGGGTGTTGTCTGGAAGTGGTTGTGAAGGTGTTGCCATAGGTTGGGGATGGAAAGTTGGCCTGGATGTTGAGGCAGAAGATGAAGAAGCATAATGTCCAAGGCCTTGGAGGTGGCCCGCAACAGTGTGCCTGCTATAGATTTGAAGTAGCTGATGACTGTTCTTCCTTTTCGCCATGACTTCTTTTGTTTGAGGAAGACTACTCCGTGTGGTGTGTGGAATTGTTTGCGGAAACCCCATGGGTAAGCTCGTCGTATGTTGGCGGGGAAAGATTGAGTGAGCAGTTGGTGGAGTTGTTGGGCCGTGAGGTCTGGTAGTGGTAGAAAAAGTTGTGGTGTGTTCCAAGTGCAAAAAAATACGCACTGAAAAGCTAAAAAAGAACATCCAAAAGCAAACAAATGAACACGCACAATCACAAAAAGGCACATCCAAAAAGCACATGAAAAGGCAAAGGCAAACAAATAAACCCTAAAAGGAACAAAGAACAACTATTAATTGTCAATATAAGTTCAAACAGCAAATGAAACAACAACACCCCCCCAAAAGTTAATAAAGCATCAAAAAGGAAGAAACACATGAACCAACAAAAACAATGAAAGAAACAAACGCAAATACATTATACATGTCAAAAACAACACAGAAACATGATAAAACACATGCCATATCAAAACAAAAAAGAGAAGACACACACTTTGACAATTGTATTCAGTTAACTCAGTTCCCAAGCTGAGAAGGAAGGTGATGGAACAGCAAGGCGAAAAGGTCCGGTGACTTGAAATGTTGAAAATTGTTTCACTCGCGCGGCCGAAATGCGGTGCACAGGTTGCTGAAAGGTGCGGTGGGCAACCTGTTTAGGGGAAGGAAGACATGAAACACCATGAAACAAACCAAAGGAGTGGACAGCGTGAGCAACAGTTTCTTTGCAGGTACACGGTCAGACGTCTCTGACCGCATCCACCGAGCAAGCATAGCTTTGTTAGCCAGCGTTTGCTTGTCGGCCGCTGGGTCCCTGCCTGTGGAACTGGGGTGGAGAATTGGCGGTAAGAAACCCTTTGCCCAGGGGTGGACACACACACACACACGCACAGCAAGTGCAAAGAGCAACGGAGACAGCAGACAGCCAAATGAACAAACAAATATGCCAAGTCTTAGGTTAACTTAGTACTACAACCTATAATAACAATAGCCACTAAGTTCCAACAAAGCCGTGCAAAGAAAGCAAATCAGCTTGTTTCATGACGCAAAAAAATAAAGAGAACCGACGCACATGACAATTGCCAACGCATGGCAAAACCGACGTAACATAAAAACCACGCGATGGGATGGGCAGTAGCACAGCGAGGTTACGTAAAACCTTCAAAACCGACGTTGAAAACCCATCCGATGTTTTGCTTTTTCAGGGCTGCTAACGCAGGGAAGACAGACGCGCAGTGTTTGGCTTGTTTGGCTTCTGCATATGTGGCTGGTCGTCCTATTGGTTCGCATATTTTTTCGTTTTTGCTGCTTTTGCCATTTGGTGCCTTTCGGGGTGGCCCGGGCCTAGGGCGGGGATCTCTCACCCCCGCGTATTTGGTGTCCTGCCGGGGGCTGGGTTGGCCGCTTGCCTCGGGGCGCACGGGTAGGAGTGGCTGTGCTAGGCCTAGCTAAGGGCCTACAGAGGAAGGAGGCAACGGGGCTAGAGGCCCAGCGCCAGGCAGCTGGGTAGCAAGAGCAGTGTGCTTCTGACCTCTGTGGCATGTTGTTTGGGGGCCAGAAAACAAGCTAGTAGCGGCTAGCTAGCGGCTAGCTGCGCCCATCACTTGGCCTATTAAAAGGGGCGCAGCGGTGTTTGTGTGTGCGTGTGTGTCTTTTTGTCGTTGCCGTCACTGTTGTTGTTGGATCAAGTGGAAATCTTATCTAATCATCTAATCTAATCAACCAAACTTAACAATGGCCAATCCGATAGAAACATAGTGACATAACGCGTGTTGTTGTGTGTTTGTGATTGCTGATTGCTTGTTTTTGATGTATGTTTGTTGAATTTGGTTCTACTTAGCTGATTGAGATAGTTCCTTGGGTCTTAGTTTTGTTTGTTTTTTTGTTTATTAGTACGGGTAATAGGCTTTTGGATTGTTGACTTTGCTGTTTGTTTCTTACTTTCATTGATACTTGCCTTGGTTGTTCATAATGTGTTGTTTTTCTCAGGTGCTCTTTTGCTGCTTTTGCACTGTTTGTTGTTTTCTTTTGACTGGTTTTTTTGTGCTTAAATCTGTTTGTTGTTTTTTGCTACAGTTTGGTCTGTTTGTCTGTGGATTTGTTTTCTATGTGTGTTTTTGCTTGTTGGATTAATTGTTCTTTGCAAGTGTTGTTTTTCATGTATTTTTTGAATTTAACTCATTTGCGTTACGTGTTTTTATTTGTTTTGTTCCACTTGTGTTGTTTGCTTGTTTGCTTGTTCATTTGTTTTGTGCCTTTTTACAATTTATTATTTGCTGTTTTTTGTTCATTTTAATTGTTCATCCGTTTTTTGTTTATGAATTGTGAATTTGTGTTGTGTGCCGTTAAGTGTCCGATGCTTGTTGTTGCTTTGAGATTTGTTATGTTTGGTCTTGTGTTCTGAAGTGTTTGTTGTTTTTTTGTTGGTTTTGCCCGTTGATTGTGTTAAAAAATAACCGTTTGTTTTTTGTTTCATTTGTTTTTGTTTAAACAAGTTCTTTTTGCTGCTGTTTTTTCATGTTGGCAGGTGGATGATGTGCTTAACGACGATTCCAAATCAGCATGTTTGCATGATAGTTACAGTACATCCTGAGTTGAATGTGCATCATGAATTTGCATTGCCAAGAACGCAGGAGGATTCAGCGCCGCCTGACGAGAGAAGAGAGGCGAAGAAAGCAGAGCTGAATGTTGGCTGAGGGTGAACAAGTGGTTGTTGGGGTCACTTGGCTCAGTGGCTGCGCCTCAAAATGTAGGCTGACCCCACATGACGATCCCTTGCACCGCTGGACTTCAAAAAAGGTAATTGGTTGGGTAGTTGTTTCAGCGATAATCCAAGAACTCTTCACAGCTTTGATCAAACTTCCGCCTCCAAAAGTTGAAGAAGGGGCCACTTTTAGAGTGACTTGGCAAGGAGGTCACTATGTGAGCTCACTTTCTTCCTGATAGTTTTGA